GTTAATTAAATATGGTTTGTATTTTAGCAGCCTTTAAAGGAGATAACTATTTGAATATTTGAAAGTGCTTTTCTTGGAAAGTTGAACATAAAATACATCATTTTTGATGCTTTAATTTTATGGAAAAAAACCCTGCAGTGGTCTCTGGTTTAAGAAATAGCATTATTATTATACACTGGACCTCCCTTGTCCCCAACTAAAACATCCAAACTGCAGCAACAACAACAACAAAAAGTTTCCAAGTTATGAACTAAAAGTTAATCAGACAGTTTTCAACAACTTATCATTTTTTAAGGTATGTTATTTGAAAATGCAAATGTGCATATACGACTTCAACATTCTCCTATATTTGAGCAGGTGTACTAGGATGCAGTTTTATGGTTTTAACTCGGAACTTGAAGGAGTAGTCTGTAATAGCTCTGCATTTCTATCCAAGATACACAAGGAAATATTCTATTTTTATGGATTTATATAACACTGGAATATATGATGATAAACTGATAACTATTTCTTTGGGCTTTCAATTAGGAGAACCACCATTTCTTGGTTATGGTCTAGCAGCAGTGTCCTATAAAAATGGAATGTAAGTCACATATATGAAGTTAAATTTTCTAATAGCCATATTAAAAGAAGTGAAAAGGAAACGGGCGACCTAATGTGGTGGTCCATGCCTATAAATGCCAGCTACTCAGGAGAATCCCTAGTTCAAGGCCAGCGTGGGTAACTTAGTGAGACCTTGCCCCCAAATAAAGAGGGCTGAGGACATGTGTTCAGTGGCCACAATGTGACCATACTGCTTGCTCTATAGAGTCTTGAGTTTCAGTACATTGGCATGTGGTAGAATCTACATAAATTTCGAATACAGATCTTTATTTAAATGAGATCCTGAGAAGCAGACTGTAGATCTTGATGCTTTTGGTCTACTAGGCAGATTTTAACTTGGTCCTCATGTGAGTACTTTAAAAGAGATCTAAACCTTTGGTTTCTTATTGATGTTACTACAGCCATGGTTACAAGGCTTGGGTTTGGAGCCTGAGCTTTGTTCCAGCTAGTGTTTGGTGTGCATGTCCCACTTCTTAGTCTTTGGCACTTACTTGTAGCTATTTTTAGATTTTCTTAAGACTATTTGTCTATTTGTATTGACATTTCTGTGACTCGAACTATTCACAGAGGGGACTGAAAGTGATTAGCTGGATTGGTTTCTCACACCTGAGCATTTTACTGGCATATTGGTGAAACTGGGAATGACTTGTATACCTGGTATTTAGCTCCCTTTCTTCCTCATCCCAGACTTAGAAACTAAAAAAAAAAAAATCGAAATTACTTTTTATTGAGTGGGAGAATCCCAGGGCACTTGGCCATTTATCCTCTTAAATGTGTAGACTTGGAATTAGCTCTTGGTCCTTTTTTTTTTAATTTTCTAATTGTAGATGAGAGCATGCCTTTATTTTATTCATATATTTTTTATGTGGTGCTGAGGATTGAACCCAGTTTCTCACACGTGCCAGGCAAGTGCTCTACCATTGAGCCCTAGCCCCTGCCCCTCTTGGTCTTTGTTGAACATCCACATCCTGTATTTTAATACACTGGGTATATTTTACACTTCACCTAAAAGAAGTGTTGTGGGGAAATAAAGAAAATGACATTTGCTAAATATCTGTTGTGTGCTGTGCATGGAGCTGGGAACTTTAGAAATATTATCTCATTGGCCCTGAGGGGTAGGAAATGTGATCTTCATATTATAAATGAGGAAATAGAAATCTTGTACTTAAGTGATTTTTCAACTACACATATTTCTAGTAGA